GCCGCCTGATGCTACGATATAAAAATGTGACCCTAGTGACGATGATTCGAATGGTATAGTTAAGGCCGCGATTTTACATGCTTTTAATCCACGCCTGTGACCACTGAGCTTCTACCTATTGTATAATTGAAATCCACTCTATCCCCGACGAGTGTAGTATAATTATTGAGGTTCCTTATTCTTTCGGTTAATTTTAATTTCATCGACTTAACCTTATATAGTAGTCGATAAAAAGATGTTCACCGATATATTCCGCATCAAATAATTATCACAATGAATTTTGATTAGAGGCTTATCCGTAGATATAAATTGAGAGAAGTAACCCGGAGATGTTTTTAACACAGACAGGTCTTTTCTTTCTTTGATGATATTTAAAGGTTATTTGGGATAATGTAAGCATGCATACTTTTAATCGAATGTATGAAGACCAGGATGGTGTAGACTTATGTATGGTCGCAGTCTCCTTTCGTTGTATAGAGGTTGTTTGAATTTGTTTTCGCAACTTAGTCATATTTGTAGGAAGAAGTAGAACACATCTATCCCCGAGACCATAATATGCGTGATAATTTCCCGAGTCGGACCGTGGACGTGGTACATTCCCAAGCGTTTCGCCGGCATCGTCACTGAGCCTTGCCAGTCTTAGCACCACATTACAACTCATCAAAGAGACATGTGGAGTCTATCCTTTGACTAATTGTCTGCTAAAAAAATTGTTCTTTATTTCTGCCCTGGGCTATTCACCAATCCTATATCATTGTATCGCCCCTTCACTATCACCATTTCTTAAATTGCTTATTTGAATGTGGCATGGTGTACCTTTTTGAGCGGATTCCATGAGAGCTCTCCACACCTCACGCTGGCTTTTTGAGCACCACATCTCCCCCCACCCTTGTGCTAGGAATTTTATCAATCTGCCATATTGTTCTGCAGTCCTCCAATAGGTCTTATCAAAGTCCCTCTCTTGTTCCATGGGATCCGCCTTCTACCTTCCTGGTGCAGGTATTTAACTCTACCTCTACCACCCTATCTATACTACTCAAAGCCTTATTTTTTACACCGCGTCAAGCCTTTGATAGCACGCATACTCCCGCCTCGCTGAGTAGGCTCCTAGAAATCCGGATTCTCAAGCTGGATGGAAGACTAACTTGAGGCTAAAGAGCCCGAGTAATTCTCATGGTCAAGCCTTTGTTTCATGGACCATGTCTATGATCAAACACGTCTTCTGTTATAGATACGAAGAGAAAGTTGGTTTCGATGAATCTCCTGAGATAACATTGTTAGGAGGACCTTCTTTTCGAATAAAAGTGAGATCGACTAACGAATCTCTTCTTCATGCACTTTTATTCGAAATGAAGGTCCCTCTAATAATAACGTCTACTGTTGGCCAACTAGTTATATTCTCCGCCACATCTATCGTGCTTCCATCAATAGTGCTAAGTCTATGATTTCCTATACCCTGGTTTCTTTTGTGTCAGCCCGCAAATGTCGTGGTACGACTTGTTTTGATTAGGTTCGCTGTAGAACCACAACATTCGTGGGCTGACACACAATAGACTAGGGCATAGGAAGTCCATGAAGCACATCTATTGCTAGCCAAATGGCTCTAGTCTCCATTGCATCTATCCTGCTTTATCCCTAATACCAATTATATGACATCCCCTATGCCATAGTATTTTGTGTGCCTCCCCACAATTGTTGTGGTTCTACTTGTTTCGATTAGGCTTAATATAGACATCTCCTCTTGGCTTCTGGTTGTTTTCTTGTATCCTTGTGATTTCTTTTCTTAAAATTAAAGAAGCCTTAATCCAATCTTCTTTTTGCTGATCCTACTGTTGCCTTGTCTCTAAGCATTACGCAAAGTTTTCGCTGATCCTGTCTTGTTGAAGTTTCCTGTTCATTAGATTTATCTCAGTCCCCATATCGATGGCTTCTCGAATATTGCGTTTTCTCATATTTTCAACATATGCAGTCAGCCTTTCTATCGATTTCGTATCCCGTTCCTGCAATGTGTTCCACTATTTCTGATCTTTCCATATCCATGTTTTCGCCGAGTCTTTCTTAGGCCAATTTTTCTTCCTCTTTCACCGATATACTTCTACTCACAGTTGCCGCATTTGAAGCGATAAACTCCAGAGCGATTCAGTTTATCACTCTTGTGTTGCTTCGGCAGACTGGTGAAAAGTGTTTTCTTCTCTTTGGTTATCACCTTGATATTCCACTTTCTTAGTAACGGTCGCAATCTTTGGCTCAGTTCACTGGAGAGCAGACATATCCACTCTTGGTTATCTTCCTGATTCCTGGTCGGATTTTCATAAAATCCTTTGATAAAGCGGTATCACTTTAATCTTCTCCTTCTTTGGAGTTTGAGAAGATTTATTTATATTTTTCTTTCCCCAACGATTTGGTCTCAGCTAATATAAAATTTGCACTTCCATATAACTGGCTCATTTAATCTGATAGTTGACTCATTCTCCATTGATAAAACAAATTACCTTTTCTATTTACATATCCATTATTCTCTAATACATATCAACGGAGTAGTAAAGTTCTGGCCTCAACAGACTAAATTCTAGATGAGGAGAGAGGTAATCGTTTAAAAAGCCCCAAATTCAAGTGTCGTCCTAAGTATTCCAATTCCCCAAATAGTGTGTATCCATGTTTCCATGACTTCGTAATCCTAATTCGCGCTTAATCTTGATAACACGTTGACCCTAGTTTAGGTTTATGCTAATTGCATCTATTTATTATGTTCCTTTTTTTCAAACTCTAGATCTCATTTTTCGTTTATAGATAGGTTTTATAGATTATATGTTATATACTAGTTCTCATGCTTCTTTGAAATAAACCATATTAGGCATTCATGATTAGCTAACTTTTGGACGATCATTTTTTTGCTTAAGGAGCA